AGGGTTTTAGGCGAGTGATATTAATTTCGCCTTGTTTATAACCAGTGCTCGCAACGGGTCGTGTCCCAGGTGGGACCCGGACCCGACCAGGACCCGGACCCGAATTTAGAAACGGGTCTTCGGACCCGGTTCACCCGGGTCCCATAACTACTGATCCGGACCCGACGGGTCCGGGTCCGGGTCTTGAAATTTCTAGACCCGGATCTGGACCCGGACCCGGACCCGAACCCGGACCCGAGACCCGGGTCTTCCTTTCTCATATTACATCTAAGCTTCAAAGTTTCCTGCTTTGATTCCTTTAAGATATGCAGCAGTACTAGATAGTTCTAAAGTGTGCACGAAAACTGAAGGAGGATTGTACTCCATGGCCCCATTTCCGCCCACGACATACCACATCCCCTCAAAAGCATTACATCCGCTAGAACTGCCGCATTTAAACTTTTACCAAAAATTCAATTTTCGCTCCCTTTTAGTAATTTTCCTAATTTTCGTGATCGTGCATTATTGTTTTATCACATCCAAATTGAACTAATTTTTTATAAAAAAAAGTATTTTCTAAAATTTCCTAACCAGGGATATGTTTTCCAAAAAATCAAAATTTCTAAAAGTTGAGTTTGATCTTGGAAATTAAAAAGTTACTATACACTTGCGATCAAGACAGTAAAAAAATCAAGGATTGAAATCAGATTTTTGATGATGAAACGGTGATAATTTTTTCGCATTTTTTGTGCTCTTGCGTTGGTGTGCTGGCGCAAATTGGGTCATGAAGTAAAATCATCCTTTGCTTTTCGTACACTCACTTAAATGTTAAATGTTAAACGTTTTTAAATTTTTCTGTGATTAAACATATGGATTAAACATAGAATTCTGTCTCTCATCACCCCAGATTTGAAGTAGTCATAAGGACCCGGTTTTCGGGTCCGGCTCCGGCTCCGGTTCCAACCGTCGGACCCGGACCCGGACCCGACCCGAGACCCGTTTGTATACCATATAAAATCGGTGACCCGGACCCGGCGGGTCCGGGTTCGGGTCTTTTAAATTTTTGATCCGGACCCGACCCGGACCCGGACCCGGACCTGGGACCCGGCAAAAATGGGTCTTGGGACCCGGACCCGTTGCGAGCACTGTTTATAACAACGAGACACACAACCAATAACAAAGTTGGAGCATATGACACGAGGCACATACAATGCAGTGCTAATGATCTACATCCTCATTGTTACATTATTATCTCTCAATGATAAAGCCTAATTTCCGTGCAAAAGCCAGAGCTGCGCAGATAAGAAAATTATTCTGGTCCAGTTCATACAAGTTATCACATCACGAATGTAAATAAATAAATTGCATAAAGCTACTACGTCGATGATACACGTGTGTGTGCGGAACGACACTCACTGTCCGTCCACAAGTGTTTGTTTCGTAACCAGCAATTTGCGTATCAGCAAAACGGCATACATCTCCGCAGAAGAATGGACAAGTTTTTGGCCTGCTACACGTTCCAACTATTTCAAGAGCGTACATATTTACACAGATCTGGGCATCTATATATATATATAATAAATTGTAAACAATGTTAACATACACGTGTGAAACAAAAAATACTGCTTACAGTTGCATGCAATTATCAAGGACGTGACAAACCTTTTTCTATGTATTATAATTTTCTGACTTTATATTTTCGTACATACATATTCTGATCTTCTTTGTGTAGCATCCACGTCTAAACTGGTCCATGCAAATTTATAATCGTGCTAATTAATTGAGCATATACATATGTATATGCATTAATCGGGTCCTTAGAATATATTGAATATCACCACTTTGGATTTATTCGTATCCATCCGTTGGAGATTACAACCGTCAACCATACAAATTAGTCTGACTACATTAATGCCTGGAATATTATGAAGTTACTATAAAACTATCTTAAAAGCTGTCGTTAGACCTTGACAAAAAAATTGATGGTTACAAATAAAAACCACAAAACGTTGTCTCAGATGGTCGTTCTGTAAAGCTAAAATATTTTACACACTTGTGTAAAATATATAAAACTAAACTAACTATACTAACAAAACTAACTAGATACAAAACCATCCATCACTGAGCATTTGATATCGGTATCATCGACTGCAAAATGTGTCTTCTTTTCATAATTGAAAGAAACAGATGTGAACCGGATATAGTTCAAGATTGGTAAAAATTATTATCAACAATTTGCCATTTTTCTCAAAAGTCGTTACAGTCGTAGTATGATAATCGAATACGTCGATTTATACATACAACATAATTTATGCTAATGGTCACTTTTAAGTAGTCCTTGCCAATCTTGGCCCGCATTATTGTGCTAATTTGTCGTATAATAAAAGCATAATTTGGTTTTCAAAATTCAACACATAGAATATTTGGCTTGTTTAATTTAGAACTGGGCGTAATCATATCTCGTACGCACCTCGCAATCTCATTCAATCTCCGCACATGGCATAAAACTTTGGATTGATTGATTGATTGATTGATTGATAGTCATTTATTCACATGTTATTCCTTGATCAGTACAATTTAATGACTGGTTTACATCAAGTAACACTAAAAAATAGATTGAGTAAAGAAACTAAATTAACTACACAATGTGGTATCTAAACAAAGTTACTTGTACGTTTTTTCATAACAAACTCCGTGATACGACTTCGTACATTTCCTGATATATGTATGTTCTCACTAAAAAGTTCATGTAGCATTTGCGCGTCTAAAGTATTCCATAACTTAATTGAGTAATAGCGCACTGAATTCGTAAAAATGACAGAGCTGTGCGTTATTATGTGCATTTTCTGCGAACTCCTAGTTCTATGCCCTGTTTCGTTTAATGTATACATATTATCAAATTCATTTACATTAGTCCCATATTTTTTTATCTTGAACAAATTCCATATAGCATAATACTCTAGCCTCTCTTTAATCGACAATAAGTTAAATTTTTCTAACAAATCATCATAATTTATGCCAGCATGTGACTTTTTGCAACTTGCTCTTGCATTCGCTACAGTAGTATTATCAGATTGACATTTCCAGTAAGTTTTGGTATAATATTTCGCTAACTTTGGATAACAATAGGTAGCTAACAGTTGATTCACTTTGGCTTGTATTCTTGTAAAGTCACCTACTCTACTGGGACCCCATATTGTCAGACAATAATCGGTCACCGCATTTACATATGCATTTAACAAAACAGTAAGCATATGTCGTGTGAGATGTCGTCGTAGCCTGCTCAGTAATCCAATATTAATACTAACTCTCTTTTGCACACTTTCTGAATGGGCCTTGAATGAAAAAAATTCATCTACAACGACTCCTAAATATTTATATGAGCTAACTCTTTCAATTTCTACTCCATTAATTAGTATAGGTGGTAAATTCTCAAAAGTTGTACAATTTGGCCTTTTCCTGATAACCATGTATTTTGTCTTTTCCTTATTCATACTTAAACCTTTGCTTTCTAACCAGTTATTCAAATTACACAACTTATCACTCATTTCGTTTATAATAACATTAATATCACTCCCACTAATCTGCACAGAAGCATCATCAGCAAATAAAGTGTAAAAACAATCCGTTAAAACCGTTGCGATGTCATTTACAAATAAAAAAAACAATACTGGACCATTAACAAAACCTTGTCCGATACCACGATTTACAACGAATGCTCTTGAGATAAAAACACCAATTTTAATGTAATAGTGTCTATTTCTTAAATAATTACATATCAATAATAACAATTTGGCATTAATTTTATAAAATTCACGCAGCATTTTTAATAGGTGATAATGAGAGATCGAATCAAATCCCTTTCTTAAGTCAATAAAAGCAACCACCACAAATTGGTTCGGTTTGTCTAATTCATTAAAAACATTCTGTGAAAATACTGTCAATGCTGTTGTACAAGATCGTCCCGTTCGAAAACCATGCTGATTATTATCTAATATATTTAACTTTTCTATCGGGGGTAACAATTTCATTTTAAGAATATACTCAAATAATCTACATGGACAAAGTTATTGAACAAGTTTACTTGTTTGGAGGCTACTGGAGGACGAAATGATAACTTCTTATCGCCAAATTTTGTATAAAAATTGGCTCTGTAAAAAATAAACATTATGTATGTGTTGGCCAATCCCATTCATTTCATATCAGTTTAAAAGTATTACTTTATCATATGGAATCCCTATGTCTGGGTTTATGTTCGTACTCAAAGCACGAAATGGCAGCACCCACATATTTATTAATTTCGCTATGAGAAGCTAAGCATTAATTGCTAATCATAATAATAACGAAATGAGGTGTGTACACACCTGCATAGTCGAGATCAATAACGCGGATTGTTTTCCTCCGACCGAGCACAGCATATCCGTAATAAATAAATACGAGATAGGAGCTCGCACATAATTACAGCGCCCTGTGTTTCGTGATCTTACTATCAGCATATAGGACAGCGTTGCTGAACCAATGCTTGTGCTCTTCCTCGTGTTACCTCATTTTTTGCACGTCTGCAGACTGTCTGCGTTTCTGGTTTCTCCGCAGGTTTTCAGATTAACAACATTCAGCACAACCGATCAAAGTCCACATGGCACGAAAGTTATTCGCATTTTGTTGATCAGCATACACAGACATGTTGTGTTTATATTTACTAATTTATCGCATGATGTTTGTGTCCAAGGTGCGTGGGACACAAAGCGTCCATATGTCAAAATCATCACGCTCTTAAGATATAATTATGCATGTGTGCCTGCATTATCTACTTTTTTTGAGACTATTCACCGTTTACCAGATGACTTTGCTACCCACGTGTCACAAATTAATAATAGAGCAGTTTATAAAAATATCGTGGCATGTAAATGTGTTATTAAATTGAGGGAAGCTTATTTATTTCGTTGTTGAGACAAGCAAACACTTAACTAAATTAAGAATCATCCATCCGGGCTCCAAACATGTTGTTCATTCCGTCGCATTGCATGACATGCTGTTTTTGCCACTGGTAGATGATTCCGTACTCAGACGAGAAATACTTATCTAATGGAGTTCGTATCCTATTGACTTATCTCGAAGCTCTATTGCAGCCTACGTGTCACAACAGGCAAACACGCTGCGCATACAAGAAATAGGTGACGTTGAGATAACGGGAGGAGTTTCTACTTTCTTCCCATTGACTTTCTCCGTTCTCCATAGGTCCATATATATTCAAGAACGACATGTTTCCCATTTCCCTGCCTTTCTTCTCACAAACAGATCAATTCAATTAGAGTGCAACGTGACCCAAATTCCCTGTTCGTGGATGTTCACCAAATTCATTCTGTTCTGACGACAGCACATCATTGCTTTAACAACTGGGCTTTCTTGCCATTCGAATTGAATTTGCCAAAAGCTGGACAACCTCTCCACGTACTGATGACTGAATAGAAGTTTTTCACCAATATGTCGTCGAACCTTTTCTTGAAGTAAATATATTGCTTAGGATTAGTATGCTATGGATGCAAATACATGCGTACTTTGTTTTTGTTTCAGTCTTAAATTAAATTGCATCGTCTCAAAAAGCTGAAGTTGAGCATTGTGATACCTTTGATGAACGAATATGAAGTTAAAGGTGAGCAAAATGTAACCTTAGAGGGGTTACCCATATCGTTTTTGGAAGTTGCTATTTTCAGCTGAAATTTGTTGTGGAGGCTAAAATTGACTTCTGCGTAGATAATACAACTTTTGAGGTTCAAGATTTTAGGGAAGCGACCTCCACCTGTCTTCATAGTCATGGGGAAAGACTTGTAATCACTGTAAAAATTTGGTGCCAAATAATAATATAAAATATTTAACAACCATCCGACCAACACCACCACGGGGGTGGGAATAGTAGTTCCGACAAAAAATTTAGAAGCAGACTCTGTCCCTGAAGTGAAGACTGTACAATAGAAGTTTTTTTGATGTAGAGTGTCCTTCCTTGTATTTGCGGTAGAAAGTTCTTGTTCAATAAATGTAGTGGATTGAAAATGGATGGTATCAGTGGAATTGTTTTTGATGTATCAAGAATTCTGGAGAATCATCATTTCTTATTTTATAAATTTAATTTTACAGCCTCGAACTTTCGACCTGTAATCTAATCTCGATATTTTGCCCATATCCATACATTTTGAGATACAGTAATAAATTCTGCCTGGCTATCCATAACTTAAATATACTGGGATGGCTGGTCAGTAGATGCTCATGCGCTGGATGACCTACTAATACAGATAATAATGTTGTGTTGATGAAACAATAAGCCGTGCAAAAGAAACTGAAACTTAAGAGACCAGATTGCCAACGAGTCTGTCATGAAGTTGAAAATGGTCAAGAAGGCTGAAATTTGAGTCGTAATCTCCATGTGCTTCCACTCCTATTTACAATTTTGCATAATAACTATCATTACAGTACATTAGTCCACCACTGGATGAAGCAGGTGATAGGTGGTCACTTGATACCATGCGTGCAGGCGTGCATTTGGAGTCATTCCATGGCACACCTGAATTTTTAAGTTCCTTTGTCCTTTAATACAAATTCAGAGCAAAAACTTCACCTGTCCACCTCCGCACATTCGCTTTACTGACTGAGAGAAAAAATTGAGACCGCGCTTGCCATGTTGCGTTTCCTGTTTATGTTTCCAATTTCAGTGTTCCACTTTCTCTAGGTTTTTTTTAGTTGACTTTGCGAAAAGCTATTTTGCGCATGATGCTGCTGCTAAATAATCAATCATTTTATTCTCCAGTATTTGAGGATGACCAACATGTACTTGCTTTCAATTTTAACAGCACTTACTTTAGCAAGGATTAGAATATAATTGCCCCGTGTGTGGTGAGGTGTACCTCTTCATATAAGAATAGAATTGCCCTATGTAATAAATGTCATGAATGTACTCATTTATTCATTAAGGATGTCATTACTGGGTTAAAGTTCAACGGGAAGTATTACTTCGCCAGGAATCGTCTTATTTATATTTTGAAATTGGGTTTGTTCGCTAGCTAGCTTTGCATTCAATTCGGGATAGGCTGCTAAAATCAAGCTTTACTAATAGTTGTGCTTGGCATTTGGCCCAATCAACGAAATGTCTCAAAGAAATCTTTGTGATTCTTGAAAGAAAAAGAAACGAGACTGGTAGAGAATTAAGGGATTGCATTTCATGCAGGACAGGTTTATCTTCTGCAGCAGACCGTGTATTGGTAATACATGTTGAGTTTGGCTGTGCAGTGGGTTTTTTCCATGGGTAAAAACAAGCTGCCTGATGACTCGTATATTTTCGATGCGATTGTAATTATGCTGGTGCGCTTTGAAACAACAGTTTACGTAACTGCATTCCTCCTCGCCAAAGCAGACTCGTTGGCACTTCTTTTCACATCTTGGATCTTCCTCCGTCTAAAACGGGCAATTAATTATCTAAACCTACAACGACGATGCAGTAATTATAAAAGTTTTAAAATTTCCAACGTATGGTTAGTTAGTTGCGTTGCATGACCATAGCACTGCGGCACCGTAAATTGTCACCGTTTCGCGGTGCTCCATATAAAATTATAAAGTGTCAACTAATATTGGCACTGAGGGTTCTGTTCAATTTCATGTTACAACCTACATTTGCAGCACGGTAACCTGGAGAATCATCGCTAAAAGCATTCAAGCCAGTCGAACTCGCAAAATGCGGTTATGCGGCTTGATAATAATCCCAATTTCTATTCGGACACTAAAATCATTACAGTGCAACGGAGGTGGAAAGAGGTCTTTGACACAACGCCAACTCCCAAACTGAAGGACGAATGAATATACATTGCTCGTTAAAGGACAATAATGACATTCTCTTAGAGCTTATAGTTACACAGGTTAGGATTAGTTGTACATATTCGTAGCGTTGTTTTGTCCCGTATCCTAGCCAGTCGTGGGTTTAGACCAGAGCATATTTATTATTGTGATTATTGTGGCGAAGAACGGATACACATTCAGCATTACAGGTAAACCTCAACTTTGTGGGCAAACCAAATGTAATGTTGTTTTGTGGTGCCTTGTGTTGTGTGCATGCAATGTATACAAACAAAACCTCGTTTTCCTTTCGAGTTTTGATTTAAACAGTTACAAACACAAGCTTTTTTCGTGAATGCATGCATACGGTTCAACTATGTAGAACTCCACTTAAAATCCACTTTTGACTTTTTCGCATTCCCGTTCATTCATTCAGTCGACTGTTTGCAGTTATAAATCCAAATCTGCAAATAAATGATAAGATTTCCGGGTGGACGGCGACATGATACATATCGCGCACATTGTTTATCTCTCTGGTTAAAATATTTGGGGAAATATATGTGCACTGCAACATGATGAAGGAAGATAAGTTAATATTTGTCAATCTGCTGAGTCATGTTTGTCAATGAATTAATTAAGGCGTTGTGATGATAAGTTTGACTTGATTGAGAATGAAATCTCTGGCTCCAGGCACGGAATTTTAGGCAATATCACCACAATCTCCTCATTTGAATGGAATTGCGAGACAGCAAATATGCAGACTGCTCGAATAAAGCTAATATTTACAGAATAAATGGAATGGATCACTTATCATGAACATTAAATTTTGATAGGGGATAAATGTTTTTCTTTATTTATATTATTGTCTCCGTGCAGACAATGCATGTGTGCATTCAGCTTATATTCTGGAAACCCCGTTCTTGCTTACGCAGATTGCGAATATTTATAATATTCATGGAAAATCTGTATAAGGTTTCCTATTCCTTCCACATATCAACTTGGTCCTAATATTGATCAAGAAAATCACATATGCATATGATGCCTTATCGCAGAAATGGACAAATTGTACACAACTGAGCAAAAATGGTTTGTTTTTAGGATCTGGTTTGAACACGTGGTCTCATTAAATCGGGATGCGACAATATTATTCATCGTTATCTATTATTATGAGCAATGCGAATCAGTTATCAGATTACCACTAATACATAAATAAATACAGTGACTTATGACTTTCTGGGAGGGAGGTAGCCTGCACAAAGTGCCAGTTAAGCTATTTCTGGGTCAGGATTCTATAATATATTTCAATTGATTTATTTCAGCCAGATAAGGAGTTTCTGCTATTTAAGGGCAGCACATTATAAATAGCCGCTGCATTTACTTATTTGATGTCAATAAGGCATACATAAATTGGAGTTTATCGGTTTATTTTCTAGAAATTATAAAAAGGTTTGTCAGTTGGGTCGAATAATTTCTACATATATATTTACTCAAACAAGATGAGAAGCTAAAAATCGACTAAAAATTTCATTAAAATGAGAAACTACAATTAAAATTAATTCTACAAAACACTTTAAAAATGTTCTTCTTTGCACTCCAGTTTCATCAGAAATAGAGCAGTTTGTTCTAAAATTATGAAAAAAAGATGCACAAATGAAAAGTGCAAGTTTTGTTAAGGAAATCCAAGTTTGCTTTAGTTCTGTATGCATTCGAGGAACCCAATCATATAAATATTGTACACTTATTGTCGATGCAACCAATGCTTGTATCAGATATAAGCCATAGGAAATAGTAAACAATCCACAAATAGTAAACAATACATGAGCACACAACCATTAGTTTGAAACGAGGTTGATATTTTGTTTTCCTGGCGAATCACAATTTCGCAAATGCGGGCACCTATGTATGTATGCACTGGGTTGGTAGGTTTATGTACAAGGAAGCGAAAAGTGTACAGCAAGTTTGGATGACGTGACTAAAAAATACCAATTCGTGTCATAAAATAAAAATAACCCAAAAAATACAATAGCATCGAACGACCACAATAGTTGCAACTTGAGTCGTGTCATCATCTCGTAAAATTTGGTTATATGTACACACACTTATTTTATGCATATCACAAATACGGATGGAAAGTAACCACAGAACGTATTCTGTATGTTGTCACTTAATATTTACCCCGGAGAGTTGGAACAATCTCGCACTTTGCTTGTGTAACTCCATGAATTATTTTCATCGGTGCAACCAACTAGCATTCATTCCTAGATTTATAGCCAATAGTTAGACTCCGCTTTAATCATGGCACAAGTACAAACGAATGAATGGGATTGGACATACTTATGCACAGCACCTCCAATTAAGACGGATGTCGAAACACAAATTATAATTCCGAATGAATAGTGAATGAATGATGCTGAATAAGCAGCTTGTACATGCTTCAAATTACACATTTTATATGCAGATCTTCCGCTGTTAAGAGGAACATGGCACAACGCGATATACGAACTCTATACGGAGGGATCCTATAATAAGTTATCAAATAGTGAACCAAGTTTTACGAGGCATTATTATTTTTGAGAGGCCGTAACTCGCAGGTTAAGCAGAAGGTTGTTAAAGAAGAAGTAAACTTAAAAATTGCCTTGTACATGATTGATCTCAATTTGTTGAATATTTACGGTCGTCGTTGGTTCAAACTTGCGAGTAAAGGTAAAAACACGATGCTTTTCTGGGACACAGCAAAACACCACATTTCATGAATTATGGATGACACTATTACCGTTTTCATTGATTATCTGTATGCAGGTAGGTCTTCCGATGGGGAATAAGCACAGGTACAATAATAATGCTCTCAATAAGCTAATCTAATCTCCAACTATACATAAAAAGTCTTCACTACTCATGCATAAATACATGACAAGAAGCTGATTCACCTCTGCGTATCCCCAATTACTATTTTACAAAAGGAAAACATGGATTTATTTAGCAGAATTGATATTGATCCAGTGCATGGCCCAATACTCTCGCACATTCAGACGTTTTAACAGGCAGTATAAAAATAAATGCAAAATCTGCATCCAACCAATTCGTTATTTAATACAATA